CCAGTGCAACAAAAATGAGTCACAGACAATGCCTGGTTCCCCCTCTAGAGCACTATAAACTAGATTGCTGTCTCCTGAGTTCACTTTAGGTTGGGCTGAAGGTTTGTTGTAAGACCAGCAGTGGAGGGGGGTCCAATGAATGATGATGGGGTTGGGAGTGGTGGTGGTTGGGCACAGCTGCAGCATGCAGGCCTGGCTGCTCCCTCTGCTGATCCATTAGTGCTCTCCTTGCTGTGGTGCCTCCTCTTAGCCCACAGGTCATCTTCACCCCTACCCCATTTCCAGCCAGCTCTGGCTGCTTGCTGTGGTGGCCGGTGAGTGTGGGCTGGCGATGGTTGGTTACATGTCACCTCTGATGCCTCTCCATTGGCCCTTCACATGCTTCCCCTTTCACTGCACTCTCCCTGCTATGCCTGTTCACTCCCCCAAGGCCCATTGCGCCTCCACCCCTAGTGGGCTGCATCCTGCACCCTGCGCTGTGCAGAGAGCCAGGCCCCTGGTTGGATCATGCAGCTCACCAGCAGCCTGGCTGGCTGGCTCCTATCTTCCCCCACTGCATCTGAATAGGCTGGCACCCAGGAAAGCTCAAGATCCTACGGCCCAGAGAGCGGGCCAGGAGGAGCCATTCCCTGCATGTGCCAAAGCCTCACACAGGGCTGACATGGGGAAGCTTCTCCACCCCTCAGCTAAGCTCTGGAGTGGCAGGGAGGAAGCTATTTTCAGCCTGTTTGCAACTGGCACCCTGGGAAGGACTCACCATCCTCTCTAGTGACCTACAAAGCCAGATCCCCTCCCTCCACCGCATCCCATTGTAGGAGGAACTCCTGCCTTCATCTATGACAGCTGTTCCTTAGCAAGTCCTCATTGTCACATTGCTCTGTCTGGTGTTAGTGGGTTGCATCTCTGGCCCCACAGAATAGCAGGGGTCCCTATAGTAGATGGAGTACCCTTGCTGCCAGAGAGGAGGACTGATCCTAAATGGAGCAGGGAGGGAAGAAGAGAGACAGACTCATCCTCCAGCTGGGACCAGCCTCAGAGGATTTGGCAAATTTCAACATTACCCAATGGGAGATAATCTCAGATGACAGGTGGATCATTTTTTCAGGGGTCCCATTGCTTGGCTTCTGTCAGTGTCATTTTTCTATTTGGTCCCATTTCCCAGCTGGGTTTTTTACCTCTGGTGTAACAGCAGTTTATAGAGTCAGTAAATCCCCTCCCTGGCCAGCCGGCTAATGTCCTTGGTTGGGTCACTGATGGACTGTTGCAGCTAAGTCACCAAGTTCCCTAGTTTGGGGAACTGTGCTGAGTTCTAATGGAAGGGAAGGAAAGGGGGCTCCATCTGCATTTTACTGTCAGATTCCAGTCTCTCCTGGGCCAGGAGTCTTTCTCCCCCAAGTCCCTCTACTGGAGACCCTGGAGGAGAGGAGCTAGACCCTCAGGTCCTTCTGTCCCCAAAGGATCCTGGAGCAAAGGAATGTGGGCAGGGCCCTCCGTGAGAACTTGCATCCTGAGCTGCTCCAGAAAGACACAAAGGGATACAGGGCCAGGCATCAGCCTTGCTGGAAGAGTCATTGGAACAAGGTCCCTTTAAAGTCTCAGGATCTTCATTGAACCAGGAGAAGATTAATTTGACTCAAATCTATCCAATTCCCTGATCTGCCTCTGCCTCCCTGTGATGGGGCGGACAAAGCCCAATCTCCCCACTGGAGGCCTTTCATCACCCTGACCAGCAGCAGGAGCAGTAGAGAGGTCTCCCAAGCAGGGTAGAGAAGCTGATTTCACTACAGCCAATCAGGATCCAGCAGACTGCTATATAAGGAGCTGCTAGCTAAGGCCTGTCAGGGTATGTCTACACTACCCCGCTAATTCAAACTAGCGGGGTAATGTAGGCATACCGCTCTTGCAAATGAAGCCCGGGATTTGAATTTCCCGGGCTTCATTTGCATAAGCGGGGAGCCGCCATTTTTAAAACCCCGCTGGTTCGAACCCCGTGCAGCGCGGCTACACGGGGCTCGAACTAGGTAGTTCGAACTAGGATTCCTATTCCGAACTACTGGTACACCTTGTGCAGTGGGACGAGGTGTACCGGTAGTTCGGAATAGGAATCCTAGTTCGAACTACCTAGTTCGAGCCCCGTGTAGCCGCGCTGCACGGGGTTCGAACCAGCGGGGGTTTAAAAATGGCGGGACC